ACTTCTGCCCAAAGTGAATTTCCTGCTCCGATACCCGACAGTACCGATAGTTATTTCATCGTAGAACCCAGTGTCCCCACACAGATCCATTATTCCTAGTGCTTTAATACTCTTTAGTGCTCATGGAAAGGTCACCTTTCTGACCCTTTAATCCCCGAAAGAACCACGGGAGATAGATAGATAGATAGAACCCCTGCCGTTGCCCCAAATTGTGGCCTGTCTCTCCCTCCCCCTCTCTCTGCCTCATCTGGGACTGGAAGCAGCTGTCACACCAGCAACAAAAGCGACGATAAACTTGTCTCTCGCTTGATTTACAAACGCAGAACTGCGTGGGCGTGGCACCCAAAAAAGTCGAAAGACAGCAACTCCAACAAAAAAGCAGGAAAAAAAAAGAACTGCAGCTGCAAATGAATACAGAAAAAAAGGTAAAAAAAACTAAATAAATACAAAACAAAGTATACAAATATTTTGCTTAATTAGGTCTCCAGAGGGGGGGTGCGGGGAAATATTATTTCGAGTTTTGCGAAGAGCTTTATAACTTTTTGATTGAACTAAACTGCGAAATGAATGAAGAGACGACAACCTTTTTTTTCAGAGTTCAATGAACAAGAAAATGCGAGTCAAAGGAATATTCTGTACAAAAATACCCGTAATTCCATCTAGAGATTTTTTTAAATTAAAGTGAAAAAGAAAGATACCCATAAATGGAAAAGTATCTTTCACTTATGTGTTCTTGACTGCAAATAATTGAAATTTAATTTCACAACTCCAAATCACCTTTAAAAAGCTTTGCAGAAAAGAAAGCAAAGAAAGGAAATTCTCGTAAGAGAAAGTGCTTTTCCCAAAGGCTGGCGCTGGCTGCCCTTTGATGTGACAAAGGCGGATAAATAAAATAGAATTACAAATAAATTTGTTAAGAAAGAAAAGTGTTTCGTTTGCAAGAACCGCAGCCACGACAGACCGTCGCTCTCTCTGTCTGAGAAAGGGGTAAGGTAAAAGCAAAAGTTGCAAGCAAACGTGGCATCAAGGACGTCAAAGGAGCATCTGACAACAGATGACAGCCACAGCAGCACAGCAGCAGAGCAGCAGAAAGACTGACAAATGATTTTCCGCTGCAGAGGGTCCACCGAAAAAATAAAAAATAAACCCCAGACTGTAATTATATTAATGCTGAAAGCCACGGCCAGAAGCCGCGGAAAGACGTGCAATTTTAAATTTTTCCTGGACTTTGAGGAGGAGAAGGAGAAGGCATTTTCCTGCACTTTGGGGCGGCGTACAAAAGGTCCCTTTGGGGACTCAACTCCTCTCCCCCTGGAGGGAAGGGAGGCTCCCTTCTCAGGAACATCATGAAAAGATAGACGGCCTAAACAGCGACAGAAAACTCAATTTGAGTGAATATATTTCGCCCCATCTTGTGCAACATGTCCCCCGACATTCGAATGATGTCTAAATGCTGCTCTATCTGACAGTTGGGTACACTTTTAAGGCCTTATCCCCGTGGCTAAATCAACTCCAATCCATACGAGAGATTGACAGCACGAGTGAGTATTCTCTTCTTTGCCAATCTCCTCACTGAAAAGTGACTGCGACTTGGGACTGTCAAAAAACGTAGGCTGTCAGCCGCAGGACCTCCCCTCGGGAGGGACTACCGTCGGGAATGTGGGGAAGCTTATCCATGGGTTAGGTGTAGGGAATGTTTATCCTGCGGTTTGTAGGTTCGTAGTAGACGACACTACACTCTGGCGCCCACTTGAAATGGGTTTTGACAGGAGGCAGGGAGGGAGGGAGGGATGGGGGGAGGTAGGGGAAGGGAATGGCAACATTTCAGAGAATGCTTTGATTTCTTTTGTGTTCGAAAGCTGAACAAAACATTCGAAGCACTTTTCTGGTTAATCGAAAGACTGTAAAGGACTGGGAGAGCTGTGGAAAATGCCAAAAACGAAACCATGAAAATGTTTTGCAAATAAATTTGTTAACAAAATATCAACACGGCAGAGAGCAAGGCAGAGAGAGAGAGAGAGAGAGAGAGAGAGAGAGAGCACATTAAAGCTGAGAATAGTTGGCATTTCCCAGAGATTTCACTCTGATTTAACTTTGATGCTCTTCAAAGTCTTCCAAGATAATGGCTCTAGAGATACTCCTGGCTGCCATCTACCGTCTATCGTTTGCCGTCTGCCGCCTAAGTGGAGATACGTCCCTCCATCCACCATTCCATTCCATTTCCCTTCCATTTCCATGTGAATTGGTTAGAGATTATAGCGCTCCTGGGGCTTACGCTTCTCTGCCTGTCTGTGCTACGCTTTTTGGGGCTGTGTCCGCTGTCAAGTCAGCATTTCCCAGACCCCAAACACACACATCCGTTTGGCCATTCCCAGCCTCCTCCTTCTCCACCTCCTCTCCCCTTCCATCTCTTAACTTGGGGCCATTACCCGCGCTAACACGCATTTCCATCGAGAGTCAGAGCCGAGCCCCATGGCTGGACAGCCATCGGATTGGATATTGTAGTTCTCAACGCTCCTGCTGCTTCTCTCTGGCTCTCTGGGGCAGCTTTAATGCAAAGTAGCTAACCATCTGACAGATAGATACACGCCCACAGGCCACACAATATGTGGGCCATGTGGCAGCCGGCAGCCAGCAAAACAGAGACAGCTCTGTCTGCCACAAAAGTGACTGCCAAACGACTTCCGACTTCCGTCTTCCGCCTTCCGCCTTCCATCTTTCGGGCTTATTTTCAATGGGTCACGTGCAAACAAAGGCAAATCTTCCAATCCCCAATTTTTGCATTTTCCCTGGGCCACGAGGATAATTACATTTTCCTTTTGTTAGCCCGGAATATACTCGCAGTCGTTCCGCAAATCGATGCAATTGAAAAATAATTGAACATCTCTCGAATGTACGAATGTTTGAATGCTTATTGAATGTCATTTCACAATTCATTCACTCGGCGGGGGTGGGGTAGGAGGAGGCTGTTTCGGAGGGAGGAAGCAGGAGGCGTTTACCCTGCATCTCTAATGGGAGGCTTTTCCTTCCTTTTCCTCCTTCCACAGAAATTTCCACATTGTCAACATTCCCCATTCCTCTCATTCCCCATTCTCTGCACGTTGCTGGCGGTGCTGCCGGTGCTGTCGGTGGTTCCTGGGAAAAGGGGAAATATTATTGATTTGGTTTTAACGGCACTTAGAGGCACATAATTGAGGGCTCCTCCCGCACTGCCCCCTGCCCCCACGAGCGGAGGTGTGAGATTGAAATGTCAGATTCTTGTACGAAATGTGACATAAATTGAAGGATGATTTTTTTTCTTGGGGCGGGGGAAAAGAGAGATTATGTGTTTCTTTTGCGGCTGGTGGAATTTTTGGTAGTGCCACCGCCTGGGGGCACGTCAATCAAGGGGAAGTATGAGTACAGTAGCTTAAATGTGGCTTAAATTTGCTGTTTTTTTTGAATTTTAAATAATTTTTCACCATTTTTCCATGCTGTTTGAGGGGAAATATGACAAAAAGCTTGGCAGCCCCATACAAAATATACAAAAAATGTGCAGGAAATTTATAACTATTTTGCTCTCCAAATTTACCAAAAATAAATTGATCTTAAGTCTATTTTCATGGAATTTCTTTCCCCAAATATCAAAAAGGTACGAAAACAGGCGGACAAAAACCTAAAGGCATATTCTTTGATTTGTTGAAGACTTTTCCTCTCACTTACATACGATTTTTCCGCCCATAACATCCTCCATTTAGTGTTCTTTTAGGATTTTCAGGCATGAATTCCCGTTAAGTTAATTTTCTCTGGTAAACTCTATCAATCTTAACGCTCTGGCCTACGTTTTCGTGTGAAAATGTCTGCAAAAAAGTGGTGAAAATCCTGCCATAAATAGTAGCTTAAGTTAATCAACATATGCTCAAAAAGGATAGGAGAGTGAGAGAGGGGGAGAGTAAATTGAAATGCAAGCATATATTTTCACGAATAAATCCCCATTTGGGGCCCTCTCCCCTTAGCCCCCCTAGCGCATAAATCTCCAACAATAAAGCACTTGAAAAATGCACAAAAATAAAGAGAAAATAAATAAATTCAAATCCCTCAGCAGAAGATACGAGTTTTACGACCACTCGAACGGGTACTTTTAGATACATTTACACCCCATCGCCCCCTCCCCCCTCCGCCCTCCCCAGCACCCTGCAGGAACCAGAGGGAGGGTCTATTAAAACTCCGTTGTAGTTGGCTTAAATAAACAACAACAAAAAAGTGGCGGAGAGTGAGGAAAGTAGGTTTATCATTGGATGATTTATAGCCCCATACGCCCAGGCCAACAGCAGGAAAAAAAGGTTAAACTGCCATATGGTGGGGGGTTCTACCATAAATTTGACCAGCAAAAAAGTTGTTGTGGCATAAATAGACTCCGAATATGAGGCAAGTGGCAGACAGACAACTTTTTGGCGCGCTTCGGACCGTAGAGGGCTCACTGGGTCCACTGGGGGTTTTTCATTCATAAGAATCCGTTTCGAATGCGATCCACAGCAAAATGTCTTTGCAAAGGCCAAAGACAATTCTGCACAGAGCTGGCAGTTCTCTCTTTGCTCTCTCTTAGGGGTCGCTCTTCGGTCTGGGGCTGCCTCTCTTTGGGAAAGTCTGCAAAATCCTCAACAAGTCCACCGACCAGCTGTTGCCGCCGTCCACACGTTGCTGTTGCTGTGGATCCCATTCCGTGTGGACGCTGTTCTGCACCAGTTGCTTCAATCTGGTGTGGAACCCGGCGCTAAGCAAAACAGCTGATCGACTCCACTGCCGACGCCACAAAGCTGGCAACACTTTCGACAGGCGCGCAGGAAATACCGAGCAACGAAAGTGCCACCCCGTGCCCCGCGCCCCGCGCTCCGTGCTGCCAACAGCGACAATCGTCTGGGGCCGCCGCAGCGGCATACGTTATTCGCAGTTTTTCAGTTGGTTTTCCATAGCTGCGCCGCACGCACGCTTTTCTCGGAATTTTCTCGACATTTTTTGGTTACTTGGAAATTCATTTGTTTTTTGTATGTGTGAAAGCAAAGATGCGCCACTGACTGACTGCCACACGGGCCACACATGGATGGCAGATGCAGTTAGTTCCTGGCCAAAACTATGTTCCGAAATGTTTCAAATAAATCCTAGATTCGATTTAAAATCTTGAGCATTCGATGGCTTAAAAGTGAATTTTGCTGTTTTCGAACCTTCCAACTGGACATCTTTTGGTGAGTGGAAAATAATTTCTCTTTTGGTCAATGAACTTGGGGAATGGCCAGCCGGCAGAAGAGATTTTCTGGCCATTCTTCTTGCAATCTAACATCTGCTGCTGCTTGACTGCCGCCTGTGGGGACCCAAAGTTATATTTCATTTATGTCCCAGAGAATCAGGCAGAAAAAGGTTTATCCGATTAGCATAATGTCCATGATGGTTCTGGTTCTGGTTCTGGTTCTCCATTGGGAGAACACTGCTGTTGCTGCTTAATGTTCTGCAAATTGTATCTGTGCGTAATCTTCAAGATTGATGTAGGTCCTACCTCTGCCGACGAATAATTGTGGCACAGAAACGGCACACCGTAAGAACACAGCAGAAAGTTAACAAAAGATGAAGGAACGGGTGCGGGTGCGGGTGCGGTCAAGGGGGGGGGTCTAATAAATTTAAAATGAGCTTAAGAACCCTGCCTTCCAATGTAAATAACTTGGTTTTTAATTTTTAAGACAAATATTTATGAGGGAACAACAGACTCGAGATTGAGATTGAGATTGAGCTTGAGAGAGTATTCGCTGGGCAAAGTTAATGAATAATTGAAACTATTTTCGAAATTGATATTCAGAAAATCCCACCCTGTCAGCCGTTCAGCCCTACAGCCCTTTCTCTGCTCGGCTCTGCCCTGCCCTGCCCTGCTCGTCTCTCATCTCTGATTTGGGAAAAACTTTTGCAATTAATTCCAGCCAAAGAGCGTAAGCCACCCGCCGTTCAGTGTCTTAGCGAAACTTTACAGATCTTTGCCTTGTCATACTTTTGGGATAGCATTTGGCTTGGCCGTCTCTTGGCCATAAATTTGGTGTAGCATTTTTATGATCTATGTGTGGCCGCACACAGAAGTGCAATCCGAAGGCCGACAACTAGCGACTGGGGAGCACTTTCCCACCCACACACTGACACAGCAACCTGAGAGATACAGCCACAGAGAGCACATCTTGTTTAAATCTATATGTTGCTGTCAATAAAAAGAGAATGGAAATGGTGATGCCACAAAAGCAAACAGGAATTATATCATTCGGAGTCGTAAAAAGAGTGCTACACTGTGGGGACCACTAATAAAATTTGAATTTTCCAGTGATAATGCGGGGCGAGAAAGGAAACCCAACAGCCGTGAAGAGGGGGCAACAAACAGACAAGTACTTCCACACAGAATGCTCAAACAAATGCGAAAGGAAACAGAAGAACTGACGATATTTTTGCATTTTGTGCTCTAGACTCCTTTTTTGGGTTCATTTCGAAGTGTTCTGGCTTCTCGTTTGCTGCCACGCTTTTATGGGGCAACCGTAAATAAAACAATAAAAGTCAACTATAGAAATACATTCAAGAGAGTGCAGCGACTATAGAACTACAGAGGCACAGGGAGGCGGGGCAGTGCAAAGGGTTGGCTGGGGGCGGCAGGGCCACAATGGAGGACAGGTTTAGGTTGCAGAAATATTTGCACAGGCCAAAAGGCAGCGCCACAATAGTCACCGGAATTGTGGTTTCGTCTGAGGGAAACTTTTCTAATTATACCCTGGCACCATCGAGAATTCTAGGGTATATTGCAGTCGCTTGTAACAGCGGGAGGAAGATCTGAGGATCCACAACGATCCAGTGCATTGCAGCGGGCAGGAGTCTTTTTATTGTTTATTTAAAAAAAAAATTGGTTGTAGTATTTTTTTTAGTTTTTCCCCTCATATATATCACACACTACTTTTTAGAGTAGTTTTTCTCCTTCGTTCTGTTCCTTAGTGGAAATCAATATTTTCTAGTACTTACTCTAGTATTTTATTTAAGTATTTTATTCAAGGTTTCTGGTATTTATTCTAGTATTTTGTTATATCGTGTATTATTTTTATTTTCCGATTTTTCTAGTATTTTTTTTGTATTTTGTCTAATCTATATTTTAATTATGGTTATTTACTTATATTCTGGTATTTTTCCAGTATTTTCTGATGTTCCCGAGTATTTTGCTGGTATTTTTCTATTATTTCCATTTTTAAGGAACGTTCAGATATTTAGGTATTCTAGAATTTTGTATTTTTTTTTGTGTATTGTTTGTACTTTCAGATTTTTCTAGTATTTTTTTTGGTCTAATTTGTATTTTATGTATAGTTCGTTACTTCTTTCCTGGTATATTTTCTAGTATTTTCTGATGTTTTCGAGTATTTTGCCGATATTTTTTCTATTATTTCGTTCCTTAGGGAATAATAGGTATCTTTTAGTCGAAATACGATTCGTCCATGGTATTTCCCTTTAAGGAAATTGCGTTCGGAAGCATTTCAGCGACAAAGCACGAGGCAAACAAAAGACGTCGCGTCAATAACAGAGGCAAGACAATGCATAAAGCTTGCAATTTATGAATGCCACTGCCACAGCGAGTAAGAGATGCCAGTGCCAGTGGCAGTGGCAGGGCCAGGAAGCGTAGCCAGGGGGCAGGGTCAACAACAGCTTGCAACAATTAGAAGCATGTGCCCGAGATCTGCGATGATGGCACAGCGGCCATAATGTGAGTGAATTTATGTGCATGGCCGCTGGCTTTAATTGCCAGTCGAATTGTTGACACATTTACTCGCAGATTTCGCCCGGCCAGACCATAAATTGTGCCGCCTAATGGCGGGTGCCTATTCGGTTGTATTTGCTGGCAATTTTGGGGGCGCTGTCGTACCCATCACTGCATGTCAGTGTCAAAAGTCAATAGCCGTAGCAGCCCGCAGCCCGCAGCCCGCAGCCCGCAATCCGAAATCCGCAATCCGCAATCCAGAATCCACAGTCCCTCCTATGCCACATTCAGTACCACTTTCCAGCCCCGCTTTGAGGCAGCGGCGGCCTCCGTTGAACTTATGGGTCGCCAGAAGACCTCCCAAATAAGTTGGGCAGGCAGCTAATTAATTTTTCGTGCTGCCTGCCAACTGCCAGAGTCAGGAGTCTCTCTCGCTTGGAGAGTCCCGCCGCCGACGACTGCTAATGCCGCCAGATGAGACAGTAATTGTCCACTGTGGCTGCCACTGAATGGAAGAGTGGTTTTCCCCTCCACGTGCCGACTGCCATTGTGGCTTTGGCGTTTTGGCCAAGACAAACTTTCGGTTACATGTTTTTGGGTCTTCGTTCTCTTTCGGTTTCGGTTTCGGTTTTGAGTATCATTTAAATGAATTGCCAAAGGAGTCGGCAGGAGCAGAAAAAGAAAGAAATACTGGGAAAACATTTAATTTGATGAGCCTTCAATTAATTGGCTGGCAAATGAAGTTAGTCCATGGTTTTCCCTGGGTTTTGCCTCATATTTAACGCACACATGTGGCACCACCCTCCCCCCTCCTCCCCCACACGCGGCACAAACAAAAACATCATAATTCGTTAAAATAATGTCACTTTTGTTGAACTTAAATGCGAAACTGCTGCTGTTTCTGCCTCTGGCTGCAGGGGGCAAAAGGACACAAACACACACACACACACAAATTTGTTAAGGAAGTGAGGACATTTTACAGCCTGTTTGAAAAGTTTGTGCCTCGCAAAAAGTTTTGCATTTCGCCCAGTAAATAATGAAAAGAGTTTACTCCGACATTAAGTTTATATTCAAATGATTTTCGGTCAAACATTTGGGCATTCCCTGGGTTCCTTTTGGCCAAGATTTATGCTCATTTCCTTGGGACGCTCCACCAAAGCGAAAGGGAAAGGCCTGTGTCTGCCCCAAGGTTTGATAAAAAAAAAAGTGGAGGCCACCAAAGACCTCCATTCATCAGGCATCCGCCGAGAGACAGAGCGGAACAGAGCCCGAGCCCAAGGCGGCCCCCCAAACGCAGAGCAGAAGAATGGGGAAGGTGTTGCCCACAAACACAGAGCTTAAGTATATGCGAATGCCTGCCCCGAGCCCTGAGGACAAGTGTGTAGAGCCCAGGGCACGAGCTGAGAGCAAAGGGCAGTGGCAAGGGGCAAGGGGCAAGCGGCAGGGGGCAGGGGGCACCCGTAAACGGATCAATATTTCATGTACGAGGCCAAGCGGGTGAACAGTTGAAATAAATCAGCGGCAGGGGAAGGGGGAGGGGGGAAGAGCGGTCGCAGAGGCGGCCAAAGGGTTGCGGCTTACAGCGTATGTGCCTCTTCGAGTGCATCGACGAGAAGAGGATACTCTGCGTAATGTATGTTGCATGCAACGCTCCTCCGACAGAGATCCAAGGTCAGAGAACGAAACGGAGACCGAGAACCGAAGAACCGAAGAACCGAAGAACCGAAGAACCCGACAAGCCTCATCATAATCGCAAAAGTTCTCCCCACACAGACATAGTTTTGCACTGGTTTTCCGCATGCATGATGCTGTATTTATATCACTTCCGCTCCGCTTTCCCGTCCTCCCCCTCCGCTCTGTCGGAAAAGTAGCATTTTCATAAATCCAGTCAAATATTACGCATACGCCAGCGAGGAAAAGCCATCTCTGGTTGCATGCTGCAATCTGTCAGGAGTGTGTCTGCCTTCAGGGGTGGGGGGACGGTGGGTGGCTGCAGTTGTTGGCAGGAAAATCTCATTTCAGCCATAAATGATGATTGCATTTAAATATAATTTATGAAGATGCATTCGTTCTAACCAAAACAGTCCGTGCCTGTCCTTGAGGCGGATCGGCTTTAATGGAATTAAATGCTGCCCCAATCATGTGGCAGGGTTATGGCATCAGCTCGACAATCTTCCACATCAACAGGGATTCAATCGGAGAAGAGACAGAATGTTGTTTGGCTGGAAATTCGATTAGAAATATTCGACTTTGTCAATGCATTCGATTCGGGGCAAGCCAGCCAGAGATAAATCGAATGCAATTACATTGATGAAGGATGGATAGCACTATTGCCATGGCTCTGGAGAGCCCGACAACCCGACAACCCGACAACCCGTGCGCTGGTTGGGGGAGGTCTTTAAGCTCAAGTGCTTTGTTTGGCCAGCAATCGAGCAGCGAAAGATGAACAAACCAGCGACAGACGACGACTATGGACAAACC